AGTGCTGCCAGTGCATCCGCATAAGCGTTCTGAAGACGAGGGATGTATTCAATAAAGAATTCTTCAAAAAAAATCTGCCATTTTGATGGCCTCTTGGTGGTACGGGATCAGGTCTTGGTTCCTGACTTCATACTCTCCACGGACTTAGTTGACTATCAATTGAGAATCCCCAAAAGCTTCGAGATATTCGACCCCCAGCTCCTTGGCAAAACTAAGTCCAATAAGAAGCGCATTGTACTCAGCTACGTTATTGGAACATGGACTAGTCAATGAATAAGCCCGAGGCATCACATGCCTCCCCGGGAAAATTAAGACAACTCTAACTCCGGAGGAGACTGTAGAACACCTGGGGGTTATTGCCCTATTAACTGCTCTCGAAGCACCATCGAAGTATAATTGTCATCCTTGTTGGTGCGACGTAGTGTTAACCTCGTGGGTTTCATCCGGCAAGTCATCATATACTTCTGCCGTATCTATGGTCGGGTTTGCCACCAAAAGATCACAAATCGCTTGTCCTTTGATCGACTTCTGTTGTTTGAAGTGCAGATCATATTGGGACAATAGAAGGGCCCATTTCGCTAACCGCCAATTCATAGAGGCCGGTTGCGTCATAAACACCCATACTGGATTAACGTTGGAAATGATGTAAATCGTCTGTCCAACCAAGTAATGCCGCATCTTTTGCATTGCGAATACCAATGCGAGGCATTCTTTCTTAATCATTGGATATCGAGACTCGGCGCCTAACAAGGTCCGACTTAGGTAATAGACTGCCTGTTCATGACCATTATCATCGTCTTGTGCTAGTAAAGCACTTATCGAGTGGTTCATCGCCTTGAGATAAATCAAGAACGGTCTACCTGATTTTGGCGCAACGAGAACAGAAGGATTCGTCAGATATGTTTTGATATCTTCGAATGCTTTTTGGCAAGCGTCATCCCAAATAAATGACACCCCTTTCTCGTTCAGTTTAGAGAATGGTTGGCACTTCCCAGAAAGGTTTGAGATGAGCCGCCAGATGTAAGCTAGCCGCCCTTGCAATCCTCTGAGCTCTCTTAGATTTCTAGGGGGTTGCAGCTCATGTATCGCCTTCACCTTATCAGGATCGATATGTATACCTTTAGTGGTGATGACGAATCCAAGGAATTTTTCGCTAGACATTCCAAGGAAGGATTTAGTGGGGTTCATCTTCAATTGATGACTTCGCATGAGATCAAACATCGTCTTCAAGTCCTTGATGTGATCTTCTTTGTTGCGGCTTTTTACAACCCAATCATCAACGTAGCATTCGACTGTTTTCCTGAGATGTTCTTGGAAAATCTTAGTCATTGCTCGTTGGTATGTGGCGCCCGCATTCTTTAGACAGAAAGGCATCATAGTGTAGCAAAAGACACCGAGGGGCGTTCTGAACGCTGTATGCTTCTCGTCATCTGGGTGCATCTTGATTTGGTTATATCCTGAAAAACCATCCATAAAAGACATTCTCTCAAATCTACATGTATTGTCGATAATGACATCCGTGATCGGGAGAGGAACGTCGTCTTTTGGACATGCCGTATTCAGATAGTTAGCCAGTCTGGATGTTGCTCCTCTCGGATAAATCCTGATTCGATCAACTTCTTAACCTCTGCCTCAATGGCTTCCATAATCTGTGGATGAAATCGTCTTTGTTGTTGCTTGACAGGTTTGGCATCCGGCTTGATATCGAGGAGGTGCATTGCTACATTGGGATCGAGCCCTGGCATATCTTCATAGTTCTAAGCGAAGACATCAATATATTCCATGATGAGAACAATTAATTCCTCTTTCTCATTCGAGGGAAGACTATCGCTTTGATATCGAGGCGATGCATTGCCACATTGGGGTCGAGCCCTGGCATATCTTCATAGTTCCAAGCGAAGACGTCAATATATTTCCTGATGAGAGCAATTAATTCCTCCTTCTCATTTGGGGGAAGACTATCGCTGATGAATATAGGCTTTGGGTTAGCCTCGTCACCTATGTTAACTTGGACTATTTTATCTTCAGTGGGGGGCTCCCTCTGTTCAAACCTATCACCATACTGCATATTCAGGTGATGAACCCATGGGTCTTCCCATGTTGGCATTTGATCATCGTTCTCCATCGTGGACGGATCAGCTGTAGCCATGTTCGCCATTAAGGCTTTG